ATAATTTAAATAATATAGATAGATGTCAAATAACGATAGTACAAAGTATCAACCGAAGTGCTAGAATTAATAGCTTCGAGGACAACTTGCAAATTGATAGTAGTTCAAATTGATAGTGTACGTATCTAAATTAATAGTCGATATATATATATATATATATATATATATATATATATATTTTTTTTCCGGTTCACTATGATATCAAGTTCAATATTTGGTACCTTTGGTTTTCCCCAAATTTGAAAATTTTTTTTCTCTACAAATGGTGAAACATAAAGTTGGTCAAATTTGCAATGGAGCATATGATAGTCAAGTTTGAAATTAGTCTAGTCAAATTGAGTATCACAATGTTCTTCAATGCTCATGAATCTTTTAAACGATTGAGCTTTATTTATGGCATACATTTCGCATTGAAACACAAACTCGTTGTTTCTTTTATTATTGGAATAAAATATATAGCAATAAAATATGATTATTTTCTAAGAGTACAAGATAAACACGCTGCAATACATGTTGTTCAGTTGGTACAAACGAATCACTTCATCACAGAAAATGTGAGAACTATATAATCTGTAAAGACTAGCTCATATGTGTTTAAATTTTATATCGATGTGAGAATCTATTAGTAGATAATCTATAAAGACTCATCTATATGTGTTCAAATTCCTGTAATATGTAAATAATATGAACCTTTTACAAACAAAATAACACTGAAGACAAAACAACAAAATAACGTAAATTGAGTAACACTAGACCACCTCTTAGAACTCGAAAGATACCAAATAGATAAAACTCATTAAATATAATAACCAAGTTTGAAATTAGTTTAGTCAAATTGAGTGTTACAATGTTCTACAATGCTCATAGATCCTTTAAATGATTGAGCTTTATTTATTGCATATGTTTAGCATTGAAACGCAAACTTGTTTTTTCTTTTATTATTGGAATGTACAAGAAATTTTTTGCAATATTGAAATATGATTGTTTTCTAAATGTACAAGATAAGCACACTGCCAACGCATGTTGATTCAGTTGGTATAGACAAATCACTTCATTATAGAAGATTGAGTATTCAATTCTGTTACAAATGTGAGAACTATGTTAGTAGATAATCTATAAAGACTAGTCCATATGTGTTTAAATTTCTATACCAATATGAGAACTTGTTAGTAGATAATTTGTAAAAGCTTGTTTATATGCGTTCAAATTCCTATAATATGTAAATAATATGAACCTTTTACAAACAAAATAACACTGAAGATAAAACAACAAAATAACGTAAATTAAGTAACACTAGGCAACCTCTTAGAGCTCAAACGATACCTAATGGATAAAACCCATTAAACATAATTTGGACGGAAGATGTGTGCCTTCATGCAAGATTTGTCAGAATTGTTCTAGACCCGTCTGGGGTGCTTCATTTGACAGCCGCCAAATCTCCAGCCAATTTGACACGTACAAAATGGAATCTAAAAGGTTGGCGAAAACTTGCTGAATTTGGTAAGGAAATTCAGCTGTACAATAGAGGATAAAGATTGATGACTATTATCATTAAAGAATCTGGACCATTTGTGGTCCTAAATGGACTTGTTCTGGGTTTTGATAGTGGAATTTGGAAGTTGCCTACGTTTATGTTTATGTATTCTCGATGATGTTTAATAAATAAATATATAAGTAAATCTTATATATACTGACAGTGTATATACAAGTTTCAAATTTATATTAAATATTAATACTAGAAACGCTTAATTGACATGAGAATCTGTATGACAATTTCTACTAACTATACTGGGTTTTGAGCCATTTTTCATTGTTAGGCCGAGATTTTCTTATCACCAAATTTGGTTATTGACAACAAATCTGCATCGTTGTAAAGATAACAAACATTTTGGAGGCTTGGTTTTATTCAACCACTAATTTGTCAAACAATCCATCAACCTTTGAATCAAGAACTAGTCCTGCTAAAATCTTGTTCTAGTACACCATTGAAGAAATAAACAAGCGATACAAGAAGTCCAGAAAAACTCGCTCTTTTAATTCGGAAGAATGAAAAAAAAATCATGTTCAACTGCTCGCCTGCAACACAAATCGTATAGGGGCCTAACTAATCCATGTTTTACAAATCAGATAACATTTGTACGTTTTCCCAAAAATTTACCAAAACAAAAGAAAATTCACTAGGAACAAGCTAGGATGTTGATATTCATGTACTTGTCAGTGATTTATACAAGAAAGATAGCACGATTTCAAGAAATCAGATACTATAACAAGCATGGAGGCCTAACCAAACAACCAATGTATTATTGGTCAGGCAAATCAAATATTATGCCTAAATTTTTCATTCATCATAATTCATAGGGTGCTAGAGACAAGGATGTAAACATCCACATAATCTGTTTTGCAGTCAATAGATTTGTTCACAACCAAATGTGAACGAGCATGATATACATTTTCAGCCATTGAATTTTTAACAAATAAATTCATTTTAACAAATCCACCAACCATGCAGTCTAGGTGCCATATATAGTATATTGCTTTGGACCATTTCTTCTATTTTGGTCTCTGGATGATGTATAGCATTTAAGGAGCCAGCCACAAGTTGGAAAAAAAAATGATTTTTGAACATCGTGAAAATAAAGTTTCTTCTTTCTGGAGAAATTTCTAATTTTGTGATGAATTTTAAAAAAATTCTACAAAAGGGGTGATTTTGGCAATGGATTCCGTCCGAGGGTCTTCGCATTTGTGAAATGCGAGGTCAGTAGAGCTCGCATTTCACGAATGCGAGGTTAGAATAGAGCTCGCATTCCGCAAATGCGAGCTCTAATTTAATTTTTTAATGACAAATGATGCAAAGTTGGAGAATCATTCGACGGAAGATCCGGTGGAACAGGTTCGGCGACAACAGAGGAGGAAAGATCGCCATCCAGTTCATCCACCTGCAAAATCATGTATTGGCGATTCGGACATTTGTGCTTCCACGAGAATTTCTCGTCACAAGTAAAGCACAACCCCTTTTCCCGTCGCAGTTGCATTTCTGCTGCCGACAATTTCTTCACTGGTGGCAGAGGCTTAGTTGGAGGAGACGGAAGGAGAGGCGGCAATGCAGATTTAGTTGACGTAAGTGAAGGAGAAGATGAATTGGACGGAGAGGTCCGCATCGATGAGGAAGGCACCATTGGTTTTTATCGTGCAACTGAACTCTGTAACAGGTAGCGCTCGTCAAATGAACGAGCCAGTGATGCAGCTCGTACCAAGGAAGTAGGAGACTGGGAGGACCTCAGCTTGCAGTAAGGAGCGCAAGCTGGGTGAGCTCGCATTCTCACTGAGCTCGCATTCTGCGAATGCAAGCTCCAGTGCGAGCTCGCATTCCTGTTGGCATGAGGTCGCATTTCCAAAATGCGAAGACCCCCATTTGTAGAATACACTCCAAGAACCGCCCTCGTTGTAGAATTGTTTTTTTTTTTCATCATAAACTAAGAATTCACCCTTTCTTTCTGAAACATTCATGTTAGACCTTTCGCTTAATGTTGGCATGAGGTTTTCTCATGAGCAAAAATTGTAATTTTGGCCAGGGACCACGCAGGAATGTAAATTTGGAGTGCAAATTATCCTAGATGCTACTTATGTACAAAAAGTTTATTGGGTTTTTGTGGAATATTCCCTTGATACAATTCCCGACCATTTTTTTTTCAACCTTACGTACATTATATCTCAAAAAGTGTTATAATATTTTTTTTAAATAAAAACTTTCAAAAATTCCTTAAAATTGCAAACGGGCTCATACATTCCTTGTAAAATCTATAGTTAGTGAAATTCAATTTTCACAAAGATACAAATACGTTTTTAAAAGAATAGATGTAGTGATTTTGTAATATCCGCCAATGTATCTAGCACGTTTTTCCTTCAAATTATAAAGAAAAGGTCGATAAATAAAGCACATGTTGGGCAAGCTTTTTGTGCAGTAAAAGGCTTGATGGTCCAAAAAAACCATCTAGGCAAGTTTGAAGGCAGCTGTTGAATTTCCAGATGACTTCCAAATAATAAGACAACTAAATTTCTCAATGCAGCCACATCTAAAATGGGTATATAATTATATATTTTTCCTGCAAATGTAGAACTGACTAATTTAAAGTCAAGGGGTCAAAAATGTAATCCCAATTGTCTTGGCCTGACTTCTTTTGGAACAGCAAGGAATGTAGAAATGTTGGTCACACTACAACAAAAATGGCCTTTAGCGGCATTTAAAGGTGTCAGTCTAAATAATCTAACCTGACACTTTATCTATCCTCACACTTAGGGCGAGTGTTGTCCCTTCCAATGTGGGGATAGCCTCAAATTTTTAGCAGCATTCAAATGTGTCAGAAAAACCATGCTGTTATAGCATTCCTTCTGCCAACAAAAACTATTTTTTGTGATAATTGAAAGTGTCCGCATAGCTTTAGAACATCAGTAGTTGATCAGTAGGATATCCAATTTATGAAGGCATCTTCAGTTGTCTTAATATATGGCTTTAAGGACACGCAACCATGTGACTTTACACTGCTTTGGATGATATGGCCATTTGTCATTAGTGTTTTTCGAGCAGAGCTATGCTGACACTTTTAATTGCTAGGAGTTTTTTCCCTGTTTTTTTTTATATGGAAGCAACCTGCAATTAGTCCTCCCTGCTGTACATTCCATCAACCAGAATCCCAAGGGACTTGTAAAAAAAATTATCCCAAAGAGCAGAATGCATATAGCAATTTAAAAGAAGAAGTCAATACTCAAATATATTTCATTAAATTAAAAGTCGATAACAAGTACTAAAATCGCAAACAAGTGCTAAAAGCAAGTACTAAAATTCCAAACCAGTACCAAAAGATTGTCATTTACAATAACTTGAAAGACTTTCTTGTGCACAAACTAAAAGACTCTCATCCCTAACAAGTTGAAAGAAGTAGAAGTAGCTTCCAAACTTTCTATTTTGTTGAGAGTCCTCAGTCATAACCATGAAGTCCCCATCATTCTTCAGCTATTTCCACCTGTGCACAAAAGATCAAGGGGATCATTAGATCATCATAGCTAGAACTAAAATTCCAAAAAATCTGCTATGTATTTAAGTGCATATCTCACCAAATGACAAGGCCAAGCAACTGGTGCATCAAGTGCATCTTGAATTGTTTGCTGCAAATCATACGGTCTAATCAATTGCTCATGTGGACTCATTGCAACTTGTATCTGTATTTCACACCAGTTTGGCCCAAGAGCTTGTCCCCCGACCTCATCCAATGGATTCAGACTCCGTAAATATCCTTTTGCCACGATTTTTGTTGGGTCAAACAAACTTTTTAGTGAAACCATATTCCCTACCTAGTAAAGATCCAACAAGTACAAGAATCAAACTCATGCCAAATTCCAGATTACAAATGTGAAAGTTTAAAAGTTATAAATACTTACTCGAATAGGTCGCGTGGCTCGCGATGGAGTTTGGCTTGATACATTGTTAGATGATGATGAAGGATGTCTCGGGCTGTCAATTGGAGAGCCCCTTCCATGTTGAACTAAAACCATTTTCTTCAAGCTGGCTATTTCATCATCTTGTCGCTGAAGCCTTTCCTCCAAACGGACCAATGTTGACTGTTGTTGAACACTTATACGGTAACATGTGTTACGACTAGGAATGTTTTCCCATAAGTCCGTTGGATTCACACCGTCACTAAACAAGCGAACATGACCATGTTTGTCTTGCCCAACCACTTGGGCAAATATATCATTGCGACCAACTGGATCTTGTGACTCCGATGGAAGCTGATTTTTCAACTCATTCATTTTTCCTACATTATAAAGGAAAATACTTGTTATTGCAAAAGCCTGTTTGAAAACAATGGTAGAATTTATAGGTTTGTGTTCTCGGATCCTTACCAAATTCTCAGCAACTATAGTACTTGATGGAGTTCCATCGGCATGGGTATAAAACTTATTGAACATTTCTACTCTAGTAGGAGATCTTCCCAACTGTTTGGCCTATAAGAAATTGAATTTTTTTAATTATAGTTTTAGCATTTAGCATATAATTAAAAAACAAGCTAACATAATGAAACATGTACGAGTAAAAAAAATTAGCAACTAAAAAAAGGATGAGATATCACCAAGTGGTTCCGAAAATGAGCAAATGACTTTTTTCCAGTTGTGTGGTTCATCTTCTTCTCCCCTCTTGCTTTCTTGTTCCTCTCACTTAGTTTCTAAATGTCAAAATCAAAAGAAAGATTACAGCATTGAATAAGCACAACTTTATGAAGAATGTTGTAGCTTATTTGTACCTTTGCTTCTTCACTTTTCCAATAAGCCCAAAGTTTTATCCATTGCTCTTCCCGTACCTTTATGTCCTTTTGAAACCAAACTTCAGCATTTGGCACGGCAGGATCAAAATATGTAGCCTTTAAATCTGCCTTCCAGCTTCTCCATTTTTTGCCAATAGATCTTAAGGTCCAAGTTTCTAGTCCCACAGGCAAAGCAAACCTTTCCTGAAACGTAGTTAGGAACTAGAAAATCAACATAACTTCACAGTAATTTTTGTAGAAAGCATACATAATACAAAAGCTACCATTACCTTTATCACTTCTAACATGTCCATTTTAAGTTTCCTTGGCATCTTAAGCCAACTTTCAACATCTATTGGACAATACATACCATTCCTAGCCAAACTGCCCAAGAATTCAGAGAAAGATGTTTTCTCACTTATTGGGATCCCATTGTCATCGGGTTTAATCTCAATCCATGGAAGGTCCTTAGGCCGACCCCAAATTTCTTTCATAAATGTAGGGCCTCGGGTTTTCTGATGTACTTCACTTGAATCATTTGCAGTTTCTTTTCCTGTATAAAATAAGAAAAAGGTGCAAGTTATGAACATAAAAAATGCACTTCTGGAATTGGTTCAAACAGTTAGTAATACCTGCATCGTCCGAGTTGCATGACATAAAAGTGGTGTCATTGGAATGTTGACCTTGAGAATCCTGATTTGGATTTTCTTCAGTTGGTACATGCCTTGTTCCAAGTGGAGATTGTTGAATTGGAGAGTTCTGGCACTGCTCATGTGACTGTGAACCTCCATCAGCTTGTTGAGTAACTTGGTCACCTGATTCATGCATTATTCCCAATGTAGAATTTTGAATTGGAGATTGAGGTGCCCGAGCAGCTTCCCCTTGAACTTGTTCAATTACATTTTCATGGCTTGTTCCAAGTAGAGGCTGCTGCCTTGTTTCATGACATGAGGGAGGTTGCTCAATTGTTCATCTCTCAATCCATTTGCAGCGCGCTTACATTTTCGACCTCTACGGGCCATACCTGCATAATTCACCATTTATTTGATACCAGGTCCACCACCATATATATATTTTTTGGGGGAAGAAAGGGACAAATGTAAATGTGTAGCCTTTATTGAAGCAAACACTCTACCTATAGCAGTGCATGAATCTGGGATAATGGATAAAGTATACAAGTTAAAATTAATGAACAAGTTATCTTGACTACAGCTTACACTGCAAGCCGAGCTCAAGCATACTTTTATTGAACTAATTTTGAGTTGCAATGAATATTATTGAATCTATTGTATATCAAAATCGGGCAGTTTGCTTCTAATTATATTTGAAAAATCTTTTTGCTTATAAATCAAAACTTAAAAACAGCTTTAAGAACTTGATGATTACAGTTGGGTAAATTTGACGAAACCCACAAATCAATTCTCAAAATCCTAGTACTATCATCTCTGTCAACAAAATGTTCTCACGTCACAAGGTCTGCTCAGGTCATGTAGTTCCATTTGAGAAGTTACTGAAAAGCTCCCATGGAAAGTAAAAACAGAGCAGAACCAAAAGAAGTCCATCATCATGGGGAAACCCCCTACTTGCTCAAATCAAGCAGTCCAGTACACAATCATTTGCTGGTGAAAAACAAAACTAACAGAATAGGCATTCGAACCCAATATCTACCAAGTACTAGCAAAGACACTTACAATTTTCAACAATCATACTAGAATCCAAAGCTATCATTTGCATTTGTGACTATAAATTTCCTCATAAACAATCAGCACCAACAATTTAGAAGTCTAGGATTCATGAGGAAAAAAAACTTTGGAAATTTACTCTTTAAAGTTGTAACAGAAAGCAACTGACAATACACAACACTATGCCGCATTCGACAGCTCTCATAAGCCACATTGTCCTAATCTGACAAGAAAGAAGAACAGATAGCATCTCTACCAGGCTTTCGACCTATGCAACTAGAAATGTGCTTCTCAGAAAAGGAGAAGGAGCTTGTCAGAAATGGGAATCGAACAACCTAAATTAGACAGATGTCTACCATGCAATGCAAAATTAGACACAAAATACTGAAATTACCTCAAACTATGGCTTGAATCCCTAACTTCTCGGTTTCCCCAAGCTTAAAGATCTGAACTCCAGCTTTCACCCAAGCTTTGAAGCCCTAATTTCTCATTCCTTGCCACCAAGCCAATGCAACAGCCGAATTAAGGATTTTCATGGTGCGAGCTCAACAAAGTTACCCAAATGGGTTCGAGTTCATTGACGGTTTTATCCAAATTGGTGGTGCGAGCTTGAAACAGAGAGAGAGGGCAAAGGGAGAGGACAACGAGAGAGGGAGAAGATGTCTGAAATAAAGGCGGTACTAATGACGCCAAAGTAAATTAGTCAAGCCTCTTGAATTTTTCAATTTGCCGTGCTACTTTTTGTGTGTTTGGGCAAAATTTTGTTAAAGCTATATAACAACTAAAAATGTTGTTACAGCTATATACAATATAATATAACAACTGCAAAAATAACAACTAAAAATTTTGTTAAAGCTATATAACAAGTAAAAATTTTGTTAAAGCTATACACAATATAGTATAACAACTAAAAATATCTTAAATTAAAAATTTTGTGAAGCTAACAAAAAACTTGAATTTAATCAAAATGTTTTCGGTACCCAATTTATTTTTTGCTACTAGCAATTATGTACGGCTTGTAATCTAACAAGCCGTTAGAAGGATCGAATTAGTTTATGGAACATGAAAATGAACTTGTGAATACATGAACTTTCCACTAATAAATGTTAGAATTAGAATTGATTGAACACATATATATTCAATATTTTCAATTCCAAAGCAATTGCCGTTCAACTTTGTGTTTATTATAAGCTATTAAACACTTAGAAGATCTTAAAATTGAACTTTTCACTGATAAACCTTAGGCTTACACTTAGAATTGATTGAACATATATATATATATATATATATATATATATATGTTCAATGTTTTCAATTCCAAAGCAATTGCCGTGTAACTTTGCGTTAATTAGAAGCAATTAAACACTTAGAATATTCAATGTTTTCAATTCCAAAGCAATTGCCGTTCAACTTTGTGTTAATTAGAAGCTATTAAACACTTACAAGATCTTAAATTTGAACTTTCCGCTAATAAACGTTAGATTAGTGGAAAGTTTGATGGTCAATCCAAAATTTCGACAAAACCGATTAAACTCTCTCAAAGATCAGTTATGGAGTGGACATATATGCAATAACAATCCAAGTTCGGAATGATTGGTTCGGTCATTCGACCGGTTCGATTGTGTCTCCAGTCTTGTTCAATGGTTAATCCAAAAATTCAATTAAATCGAACGACCTTCAATCAAAGATTAGTTATGGAGTATATATGTAGAATATGCAATAACAACGTTTGATCAGTATGATCGGTTTGATCGATTCGATCGTGCTTGATCGGTTCGATCGTGTCTCCAGTCACTTTAATGGTTAATCCAAAATTTTGACTAAACCGATTAAATTCGATCAAACATCAGTTCGACCGAAAATTTAGAGAATTTCACTTTTTGAATTGTTATTTTTCAGCACCAATAATTTTTCCATTGTATTAAAAATTTATTTAAGAAATTTATCGATTAAAGTTTCAAATTATTTCTATTGATCAAAAACTAGAGAGGGGTGATTGGAAATCAAAAATTGGCCATAATACAATGATTCACTAGATTAATATTACAGTTTACAATTAATGGAATTGCTTATAAAATAATGACCAGTATTTATCCAGCCCATTGGGCTCTTAAAATTAGTAATGGGTTGTTTTATGTTTGGTCTGAATTGATTTGCAAAAATTGTATTATATCTTACACTCAAAAGTTTAAAAAATAAAACAAAGAAATGATTATTGTAATTATCAAAAATAATAATAACAATTTTGTTAAAACCTTTAACGAATCATAATCAAACTTGAAAGTGGATTTGATGGATAGCAATTTCCCATAACACAAAGGCATTTAGAGATTGCACAGAACATTTCAATTGAGACCATGTATGGTGTACGGGCAGGTGCTTGAATAAACACCATGATCTGCAATTCCGCAAATTTGAAACCATATTTGTCCCTTCAAATTTAGTTGCTTTATACAATAATCAAACGAACCAAAACTCACAAGCTTCAAGTAATTTCAGACCAACGAAATGTAGGCAAGTAATTGCAGCCAGTAGTAGAGCCTTAGCAATTGAAACATATAACAATAGGGCCAGCAAGCTTAGCAACTATAAAAGATACTAAATCAGATTATATTGGGACAAATCAACTTCAATCCCAAGTCCATCCTCACGAACCCAACTAATTTCCTCATTTTCATTCTCAACAACAGGATTGCTAACATCACTTTGCAAATATGTCTCAACATCCATGGTTGTGCCCATGTTATATCCACCTCTTGCAGTGGTAGAGATAACAACTTGCCAATCCTTATCAGTTGGATCTTCCACATAAAAAACCTGTGATGCTTGTGAAGCGAGTATAAATGGCTCAACATGAGGCCTCACATTTGCAAAATTGACTACAGTAAACCCATCAGCATCTTGTTTCATTCTCGAACCATTTGATATCCAATCACATTCGAATAACACTACCTGATGACCTCCGTAAATTAATTCAACAACATTTTTCAAGACGCCGAAGTAAACTAGTTCACTCAAAACTGGATTTTGATCCCTTATACTTGCAAAACTGGATGTTGTTGCATTGACTGTAACACCACTATTCTGCATTTTTCTTTTCTTCTCAACTTCGTTGGTGTGAAACCGAAATCCATTAACAACGTACTTGTCATGTTGGATTCCAACAACATCTGGACCTTTAGCAAGGAACCTCAAGTCTCTCAACACCGAAACATTTTGAGGAAATTCTAACTTGTCAATCTGTAAAAAAAAAAAAAAAAAAGATGAAACTATATTTGAAGTCCTACAATTCAAATTGTACTTAATATTCAGAATTTTACTTACATGTTCAGCAAACCAACAAGCAAAATTTTCGTTGTGCAAGCGCTCTTTTAGATGTTGTGGAACTTGAGAATGCCCTTCTTCTATCAATATACGATGCTGCCTAGAAGTACATGAGTCAAAATTGTAATCATACATTGAATTCTACAATAAAATTTTAATGCATCAAATTGTAGTTGAACTTACTCTATGTAAGGTATGACAGCATCACAGTTAAATAAAATATACTGATGGGCTTTACTCAAGATATGAGCATCAAAGACTGTTGGCTTGCCCCTCCCCAAAGGATGTCCTGATTCAAAGAATATATCTAAACCCTCTTCAATTTCCTTATGTACTTTTTCATTTCCGCTTGGACGATTGAATTTTGTCTCAACATAGTCCGCAAGATACAACGAGCAAAAGTTTATGCATTCTTCTGCCAAGTAGCCTTGAGCAATCGAACCTTCAGGCCTACTTTTATTTCGAACATAAGATTTTAATGTTCCTAGGTACCTAAAGTATCATCATTCCAAACTCTCTGTTTAGTTCCACAAATCAAAGAAAGAAAAAAAGTAATAAAAATTTAAGACATAATTAGAATTACAAGCAGTACCTCTCTACAGGATACATCCAACGATAATACACCGGGCCACCTAATTTCACTTCAGTTGCCAAATGAATAGTTAAATGCACCATAACATCAAAGAATGTTGGTGGAAAGCATTTCTCAAGATTGCAGAATATAACGGCAATTTCACTTTCCAAACGAACCACATCTTGAGGACAAATAACTTTAGAACAAAGCTGCCTGAAGTATCTACTCAATCGAATCAAAGGATAGCGCACTGATTTTGGCAAAGTCTTTCTCAAAGCTATAGGCATCAATTGCTGCATTAGGATATGATTATCATGACTTTTAAGCCCCGAAATTCTTGGTGGCTTTACTCGAACGCATCTTGAGACGTTAGCTGCATAACCATCTGGAACTTTCACTTTTTTTAGCACATTGCAAAACATAGTTTTTTGTTTTTTATCCATTGCAAAGGAAGATGGAGGTAAGTACACATTTCCAGGTTCTGTCTCAATGGGATGCAGCTCTTTTCTTATTCCCATTTCTCTCAAATCACGGCAGAAATTATAATGGTCCTTTGCTTTATCCTCAATATCCAACAATATCCCCCAAATATTTTCACAAACATTCTTCTCAATGTGCATGAAGTCAAGATTATGTCTTAAGACATTATCTTTTCAATATGGCAAGTCAAAGAAAATACTCATCTTTTTCCAATTAAAAGGCAATTTCGGATTACCTTTCACAAGTTTTCCAAATTTAATTTGCAAGTCTCCCAATTCACTCACAATCATATCCCCAGTTTGCAAAGGCGGACGCTTTCCATATTCTTCGGTACCATCAAATAATTGGGCTTGCTTTCTAAATTTATGCTTACTATCTAAGAATCTACGATGACTCATATAGCAATGCTTGAAACTATGAGTCAACCGTCGTGCGTGAGTGAACTTGTGACAAACAGGACAAGCATATTCACCTTTAGTGCTCCACCCAGATAACATTGCATATCCAGGGAAATCACTAATGGTCCACAATAGAGCTGCATGCAATTGAAAATTTTCTTTTTGGGATGCATCATAAGTTTGAATGCCAAAATCCCACAATTCGGTCAATTCTTTAACTAGAGGCTGTAGATAAACATCAATATTATTCCTAGGAGAGGATGGTCTGGGTATTAACAAGGACAACATGAAGTACGGTTGCTTCATACACATCCACGAAGGTAAGTTATATGGTATTAAAACCACAGGCCAAGTACTGTGTGTAGAACTCATGTTGTTGAATGGATTAAACCCATCAGATGCCAACCCCAATCTAACATTTCGACAATCCTTAGCAAATTCTGGATGTAGATGGTCAAAAGTTTGCCAAGCTGGAGAATCAGCTGGATGTCTCATACAACCATCTTTTGTACGTTTTTCCTCATGCCATCTCATTTGAGATGCAATTTTAGAAGACATAAATAGTCTTTGTAATCTAGCTTTTAAAGGAAAATGCCACAATACTTTTTGAGGGATTTTTCTTTTTGCACCAGTTGGATCATTTTCTGAAGCAACCCACCTAAGCTCGTTACATGTTTCGCATGAAGTTCTTTTTTCAGCACTACCCCAATAAAGAGAACAATCATTAGGACATGCATCGATCTTTTCATAACCCAGCCCCAATGTATTCATCAATTTCTCAGCCTCATAGTAAGAAGGCAAATTAGTCATGGCCTCCGGAAATGCTTCTCTCAACAGCTCAACAAGCATATTAAAAATCTTGTTACTCATCTTACCAAGGCATTTTAGGTGAAGCAAACGAATAATGAAAGACAACTTCGAGAAATTTTTGCAACCATTGTACAATTCCTGTTGAGAATCATCAATCAATTTGTAAAATTTTTCAGCCTCTGAAACAGGAAAGTCCTCTTCTCTATTCAATTCATTTGTTCCATGTGGTATCCCAAATACATCATAGACCAAGTCTTGCATGTCATTAGTCCCATTTGAAACCCCAATTGATGTATTTTCAGAATTAGATGTGGCTTCATAGTAGTTTGAAAGTTCTCCATGTGCTATCCAATTATTATAACCCTTGATAAAGCCTGCCACTTTCAAATGATCATATGCTTCCATTTTAGTCACACAAACACCCATGCCGCAATCTTTGCAAGGGCACAAAATCAGTCCGTCACAACTTGATCTAGAAAATGCAAAGTTTAGAAACATTTGAAGTCCTGCCTCATACTTTTCACTTGTTCTTGGAAAATCCATCCAACTTTTATCCATACTTTTAATATAAATAAATGTCCTCCAACAAGCTTCCAAGAGCATGAAAACAACAACTACACATTAGTACTTAGAAAACTAGACAAATCCCATAAAATCATTGAGAATAAGAAGCGCCCTGATTTTTTAAATTCAGGCCATGACTTACAAGTCCCTAATTTCAAGTTCAAGAATTTACAGTCTACTAAATAAAGCAGCCCAGCAAATAAAGGAAATCAACAAAATGCAAAATTTCTCAACAATCTGTAAAAACAGAATGTGCAAGCAAGCGTATAGAAATTTTATTTACCTAATAGCAGAACAAAGCCCTTCGTACCAACTCCTGCACTCACGTCTTCGCAAAATTCCTAACTTCAACCTGAAATGTCAAAGGTTAAACAAACACATGAGCGTGAAGACTAAAGGTGAAATTCAAGAATCTTACTAAATTTCCATCAAAGTATACATACTTCTCTGGTGTGTAGTGATTAATTTTATAAGTCCTCTCTTTAGAAAGGCATGCAACTTACGGCATAGGTAATTGGAAAAAATGATTGACAGGAAAGGCATAGGTTTATGACACGGTTAGACCAGCAGATATTTATGAAGAAAAAGCATTCACCACAGAGAGACAGTGAAATGTGAAAGAAAGAAGAGAATCTATCTAGCTTTTTATTTTATACTCATAATCTTTTTTTGGTTCCAGGATTCTTTTAAGTTGCTATGACTATTCAACTAATTGATCTAGAAATAGGACTAAATTGAGAAAAAAAAAAAACCCGTAAGGGTGCTATGTCATCCTGAACTGGGAGGGGTGGAAGTTCGAGTCAATCACACCTACATAATCAAATGGTACACCATTTGATCTCACCCATCTCAATAACGACATAATATTTGTTTGTCTATTCAATAATCTTGCTTAACAACAATCTGAACCTATCTGTCACGGATGCATAACCAGCACATGACCAATGTGCAGTTCAACAAGAAGTCCATTAATTAAGTCCTTAAATATTAATTTTCATCAACCTATTTCTTAAACTTTTGCACTTGTCTTGCAAAAAGGTCATTCCAGTCACCCCATTGCTATTTTGATCTTCATCAAAGAGCTTCCAAGTCGATTTCTATTCATAGCCTAAACAGAGCTTCAATTACAACTAAGTTTCATAGATTAACATTAAAAGAGATTCACAAAAAAAAATGAACAACAGGGGGGAATTGACATTTTATCGAACAGATTATGGGCAACAGCTTCATTGTGTTTACCACTTCAATTTTGGAACAAGATATGCGCACCTGAAGTATCTTCCCGCTTTCCCAATGTAGAGCTCTGTTCTTCAGCTTTTACTCCCTGCCCGCCCTTCCAGATGTCTTAGCCGAGGGATTTAAAGTTGAGGTTAGAAAAGATGAAGATGGTTGTTTGCAGAGATAGCTTCGATTGCTACCAACATTCTGGATTGGCCGAGATAGCTTGTATGCTGAGAGGTGAGAAAGATGAGAAGAAGAAAATTTTCACCAAGTCTTTTGCTGGCAAAATGAAACTTCACAGTACTTCAGCAAGTGTTTTGGAGCCAAAATAAAACGATGTCGTTTTCTGTGTTTTTTCAATTTTTTTTTTTTGGTTCATCTCACATTTTCCAGAGTGTCATCATAGGTTACCTAAAGGCACATTATTATTTGTATATCATGATAAAATAAAAAAATTATAATACATATTATTGAATTTATTAATAAGTGTCATGATATGTTTATTATAATGACACAAACCAGCAAGTGTCCTTATAGGCATGTCAGGAAAGATCATTTTTGTTGTAGTGTCAATATCCATTAACTTGCGACTGCCTTTGTTGAAGAAGGGATTGACCACTGCCAGAATATCTAAACTCTGATTCAAAATTCTCCAATTCTTTTCTGTATTAATTGGGCAGTCTTTTCCACAATTCTACCCTAAAAACATTGCAAGAATCTTCCAGTTTCAATTTTCTTCGAGATGTTGTCGCAGTCAAAAAGAATAATGGATCGTTTTCTTGAAATGGAGGCAACTCCATTCGAACAAATAATTGATTTCCAATTGGAAATGTCAAAATGGAAGCATGAACAAGGGGGAAAAATTAAAAAATAATAATAATAAAATAAAAAAACAAGAAACTAGGTATCAGGTTTATCTCTCAGATCATTCTGATCAAACTTGGTACGAGTAAAAGAATTTTTTTTTTTAACAAGTATTCTCCAAACAACTTAAAGTAGACATAAAACGTCATCTAAATGTACATATTTTGCATTTATTGTACCCTATGTTCAGTCAACTACTTCAAATTAATGATTGTTGCTGAAGAATACCCATTAGACAAATTTAATATATAAAATCATATATTGCTTCTAATGATAAGATGACAATCTTCATATCTTTGATTGTTTTAAGAAAAGCTCTAAAATCCTTCCCTAACCACTGGTAAGGTACTAATGCATTCGCCTTATCAACAAAATCTTTGCCAAGACTTCACAGGCATGATAAATACTACGTAACCAAATATGTAACTACCTTGTTAACTAATGGAATTTGCCCTCAAGACTTCCGACATAACAATTATTCATAGTCCCAGAACCCTATTGTGACAGAAATTTGAACTTCATTGAGGCCAACAATGCTATAACTACAATATTTTGCAAGAAGAAAGATTTGGAATGTGGTTGAATTAGGAATAAAACAAAGTTAGCAGCTGAAAAATTTATTAATTACCCTTTGCAAATTTTGACAATGGAAAATGGATCTCTACAATTCTCATAGTTGCCAAATTGAAGAAAAATAGTGAGCTAATTTTGTGCAGACACTGAGAAACTGCCCTAAACTCTTACTAGGAACGAACCTACAAGATGTCGATTGAGTTGTAGGATATTCAACTTCTTGTTGTTTATTTTTTGCGTGGGAAAGGGGACTGCAAAAATTGTTTATATTCTTTTTCTTGCACAGTTTGTACTACTCTATTACGTAGGCATCTAATATTAAATTTCAATCTACCAGTCCAATGGGGCTATTGCCTTTTCATAGCTAGGGAGAAAAAATTATTGTTGTTTATATTTTCGTGGGAAGGGAGCGGCTAAAAATTAGATTCTTTCCTTCTTGGACAATTGCACTATAACGTAGGCATCTAAATATTTCAATTTCAATTTCAAAAATCTTTGCAGACACAAAAAAAAAAAAAGAATACCAAAGTGCAATCTAAAACATGCAAGAACAAATATGATTTTTACGAAGAAAGGAAAAAAAAAGAAAAAGAAAAAGAAAGGTTTCCTACCATTGCCCATCCTGCCTGATTTTCTAGACAAATTATGTGGGGTAGATTTTTGCTGTTTTTGAGGCATTTTCTTAATTTCAATAAAAGAAATTGGTCTATCAGTAATACATATATGTAAATTTTTGTATGGATTATCTATTATGTAGAGGGTACTAATTAAGGTTTTTATTTTTGTGTTCTTTTTTCTTTTGGAAGAATGAGAGTAGGGCTTTGCTTGAAGGACAATACTTTTGGAATATCTGCATTCCTTTGATAGGACTATACTTTCTTTTCTTAAATAAAAGTAAATTTCTAAGCTAGGTAATGACAAGTTTTGGAGGCTGTACAATTTGTTAATTGCCCTAACTGCTTCTTTTCAATGAAAAATATACCAAATTTCTTAAGACCACTTAAATTTTCATAAAAGAATACCTTTAAATGGTTAGTTATAATTTAAATAACACTTTTATTCGCCTTCAAATATTAATTAGATTTTTTTCCCGACAAGAAACCAAAACCAATTACTACAAAAGATAGGTGCATGGGCTGTTGTCTCATTGAAATTCAAACACACTGTATAATTTTATGTAAACTTTTTTTTCTCTCTAAAACAATATGGACCAAATAGGGCTGCAAACGAATCGAACCGCTCGCGAGCGGCTCGAGTCAAGCTCGAGTCGAGCTCAAGCTGGCTCGAGTCGAAATCGAGCTCGAACTCGAGCTCAAAATATTAAGCTCGTTAGCTCGCGAGCCGGCTCGCAAGCTCTAGTATATATATAATATTTTTTATTTTTTTTATTTTAAGTATATATATATATTTTATTTTTTTATTTTAATAGTAAAATTACATATATATCCTTAATATTTTTATTATTTTTTAAAAAATATATTATTTTATTTATTTTTTAAAAAATAAAATAATTATTTTTTAAATTTTTTTCGAGCTCGAGCTCGAAAATTGCCGGCTCGTCGAGCTCGAGCTCGAGCTCGAGCTCGAGTTTGGTAAAATTTAGTCGAGACTCGACTCGACTCGATTAGCCCAAAACTTGACTCGACTCGGCTCGTTTGCAGCCCTAAGACCAAAGCGATCCAACTCACCAAATAATGGGTTTGAAAAGTGCACTTTTCCCTTACTATGTTGGTATAAAAACTCATGTTTTTATTTCATGTATATGGATTGCACTCTACCATTGATTTTTTTTTTGTTTTTTTTTTTTGAAAAACCTAGCATTGAAGATTTAGCCGGTAGACGTGTGAAATGTAACAAGTATACAATACGCAAGATTGGACTGCTGCACGTGATTGTAACCAGCCGTACGCCATACGATCCGTGACCGACACGCAGCCGCCGCCTCCGAGAGATAAGGAACCACGACGTCGTTTCCCTAAATGATCACAATTCTAAGCTTAGATCTGATCATGGTCAAGAACTGTTCAGGACGGCTTTTTCACTTTCTTTATTTCAACGGAGAAAGAAAATCAACTTACTCGAGGATTGAATCAAAAGATAATGACATAAAGAAGATAGAATCATGAATATACACTATAGATTTAGGGTGCATTTAATAAAATTGAAATCTGAAAATTGAAACAAGAAATCTGAATGTTTGAATG